TAGCTGCCGCCGACCTTGCAGCGATCCCAGCCGCCGCGCCCTGCCGCCGAGTTGGCTGCGGCCGCCGCGCTGCGATGGGCCGCCGAGCCCCAGCCGGGGCGCTGCAGACGCCGCTCGCCAAGCCAGGTAGGAGGGCTGCGGGCGGGGAGCCGGGCCCAGCGCGCGGGCGGAAACACTGGGGAGCTCGGGAACCCTGGAGGCAGGTTTGGGGAGGTGGGCCTTGCCGGGGCTTCCTCTCCAAACTCCGCCCGGCCGGTTATTCTCCGGGCAGCTGCCGGCTTTCCGTCTGGATCCGGGAGGTGAAACCCGGACGCCCGCGAGAAAGGCGCCTGGGGCTAGCCAGACGACGGGACTGTGCGACGGGTAACTAAAGAGGTCGTGACAGGTCCAAATTAAAACCCACGCGGGCGTACACACCGCCGTGCTCAGGGGGTTCCCCTCCTTAGGGCTTTTTAGAGAGGTTGGGACGTGTAGGTGCAGGACGGAGCCAAGGCCCGAGGGGCTTGGCTGACTGCGAGCCGGTTGTTCTTCTCGGCCCGGCCCCGAGGGAACTGGAGCTAACCCCAAGCCTGTCTGGTGGCGCACAGTGGTCTGCAGCGTCTTGCACTTTGTGGAAAGAAGTCTCATTTAGAAGCAATAGTACAAAAGGCCAGAAAGGCTTCTAAACTGATAGGGAGGACCCAGAATCTGGTGTGGTCAGAGTGAGCTTCTTTTGCAAAACTGCTCACGTCTTTCAATAGGTTCCTCAGGCCGCCTTCAGCTGTCTCTGTGGTTTAAAGAAATACAAACAAAACTTGACCTGCGGCCCTAGCCGGTCTGGCTCAGTGGATAGAGTGTCCGGCCTGTGAACTGAAGGGTCCCGGGTTTGATTCCCGTCAAGGGCACATGCCTGGATTTCGGGCTCGATCCCCAGTTGGGGGTGTGCGGGAGGCTCCCAATGATTCTCTCTCATCATTGATGTTTCTATATCTCTCTCTCTCCATTCCTTGCTGAAATCAATAAAAACATATTTTTTTGAAAAAAATAAAACACACACACAAAAAAAACAACAACAAACCAAAAACTTGACCTGCGGTGAGGAAGGCCAGGTCTGGAGAGCCCTTTCCCTGATTCTAGGAGGCTTGTGCCTCATGCTCTAAGATATGGAGCAAAGACTCTCTTGCTTCCCTTCACCTCTCTGCGCTCTTCTCTCCTCTCCTCCTGTGTTGTGCATTAGAGAGAGTGGGTCCACCCTGAGCTCTGGAGGTAGACAGGTTCCCTCCACCCCATTGCTTCCATCCCTTTCCCTCCTCCAGGTCTCCGGTCTGCAAACCCCAGATGAGGCTCTTTTCTCCTGGGAATCTCTTGCGTGCTGTTCTGCCCAGCCCAAGCACTCCTTTGATTTTAGGCTCTTGGAGTTCAATTGACATGTGTTTGGTGTGGCAAATAGGAAAGAAAAGGAAAAGCTCCGATCTTCTCGGATAGGGGATAAAGGGATTTGCTTGAATTTTTCGAAGGAAGGCCCTATAAGGCCCAGAGCCCCAAAGGTAGGACGGTGGCAGAACTTCTGACACCCTTCCACCCCCCACACCTCCAAGGAGTTTGTGGAAGTCTGCAAAAGCTTCTGGCTTTTGGAGAGGGGCTTTCAGGAGCAGTTGACTGATGCGTGGAGCTGGGGAGATGCACTCACTGGTTTGGGGGTCAGTGGACAGGCAGCCTTGCAGGCACAGATCTGCTGCCCTGGATTTTGTGGATATTTAATCCAAAGTAGGATGTAAGCATTTCTCTGAGTAATGCCCCCCACCCCACCCCAGTTGTCTCTCTCCTTTCAATATGATCTCTTCATATTTGTAGGTTTGCCACAGAAGAATAGGAGGGAGAGAGAAAGACGGTTTATTTTGCCTTTCTCCTTTAGGTTAAAACAAGTAACGGGGAATGTTTTGTCTCGCTTCTAGAAGTTGATTCATGTCAATAACTTGTAACCTCCATTGCCTCCAACACCATAGCAGGAATCCAAGTTTATGTCAGTCGTAGGTAGCAGTTTGCAATGGCTACCTGCCCAGCAGCACTCCTATAATAATAGGGCTTTGAGTTTGGGGGTCTCAATTCAAGAGGAGATTCTGTCCACATCCTGTGCCCTTCAAACCATTCTTTGGGATACCCAAAGTTCATGGTTTCTAAAGAGTCACAAGACCAAAAACAAGCCAGGAGGAGGGTAGCGAGGGCAGGAAGAAAGGCGGGGCAGCACCTGCTGCGGCGGCAGCAGCAGAAGGATGCAGGTTTGGGAGAATAAAAGGAGACTGATTTCACCGGACAAACCAGACCGGTGCCCTCTCTGTTATTCTGAGTGTTCAGGGACAGCCCGAGTCCTCCAAATCGAGAACAGGTAATTGCAAAGGAGAATCGGATGTACCATGAGAGAGGTCAGAGTCGTTGGTGGCTGTGGGAGACTGAGCCATCAGGGACCAAGGGCTCAGTTTCTAGCTGGTCACATTACATACCTTACACACTCATTTATATAACTTTTATTTTCTTCTTTCAGTTGGTTTGACCCTATAATTCCATTAAAAATGCCAATCACCAATCCGATGATGTGGTGGCGGCACAAGAAAACACACACAGAGTTGTTGTTTTCATGAGGAAGGCAAGCATGCAGGTGGATGGTTTCCATGCATTGCTCTGTAAGGAAGCCCATTTGGGGTGTACGCGTAGAGAACCCGCCTGGGTGAGATACTGGTTGCTATGTATATCATACCTTCCTGCAGTTGTGCGTATTGTGATTTATTTGCGTGTAGCATACCATGCATAGTTCGAAGTATATCAGGGACTCCTGGACAAGTAGTTCACTACATGCAGAGAAGTAAGTGAAGCTCTGTTCACATGGCAGGTCGGCATGTAACAGTAAGTTCCCAGACCATTAGGAATCTGTATCTGCTGGCAAATTATGGAGATCTGTGATTTCTGTGTCTAGGTTGGTCCTTTCAAAAAGGGCTGCTTCAGTCCGTAACTGTGGAAATTTCGTTGTTGTTGTTGTTAGCTACGAATGCAGGTGAAAAGCACATGCCCCAGAGCAGCGGTTCTCAACCTGTGGGTCTCGACCCCTTTGGCGGTCGAACGACCCTTTCACAGGGGTCGCCTAAGACCATCCTGCATATCAGATATTTACATTACGATTCATAACAGTAGCAACATTACAGTTATGAAGTAGCAACGAAAATAATTTTATGGTTGGGTCACAACATGAGGAACTGTATTTAAAGGGCCAGAAGGTTGAGAACCACTGCCCTAGAGAAAGGTCTGTTTGCTGGGCACCGCTGGAGAGGCACCCGCTGTTCAGGGAGTGCCACATCAACACCAACATTCAGTTTTGCGACTGGAAGGAATTTCTTCTTCAAGTTCTGCTTCCGATTCTTTAAAGGACTGGAGTTATCTTATCTAAGGGTGTAGTGTGTTCCCCATCCCTTTCCATGTGGCGATGGTTCTAAGGAGAATTTACATATTCTAATGTTATTATTTCTAGCTCTGGGTTGAAGCATTCTTTTTTCTTTTTGGGTGTACATTTCCCCCTGCTCTTTGATTATCATCTATGGCTGGCCTGGAATTATAAGATCTTTTTAAGCCCCAAATTATAATTTAAGCTTCTTTACATATGTACCATCGATTCACTTAGACTCCTAAATTCCCTCTTCATCCCCCTCACACCCTTTCCAGTCCCCCATGAAAATACCCTGGGAAGTGTGGCATCTTTCAACACTTAGTGTTTCTGAGTCAGCAGCCTGAACCAGCCCAGCCAGCCTTTCAGGACCTGGGCTCAGGAGCTGAGGAAAGTTAAGGGTCAACTCCAAGGTGAGAGCTAAAGTTACACTCCTGTATGGCGGCTCCCTTCCCCCCGCCTCACCATTTCCTTCAGGGGAGAGTGTCCGGGCAGCCTCTGGCGGGAGAAGGAAGATCTCTAGCTGTAGGTTCTTCCTCTGTCAGCATCTGTCATCAAAACAAGTATGTGCACAAGGTCTTTACAGTGTTCTTAAAGGAAAAAGAAATAAAAACATCATATTTGGTTAGGAGTAGGAGGGCAGGGCCAAATAGGAAAGAAGGGTCTCCTTTTCTGTTGATTTCTCCTGAAAAGGGGTGAATAAGAGACCTGTAGTGAGAGAAGTTGGGAGTTTTTGAAAACTACCTTTATTTTAGTTTACCTCATACCCGGTACCGAATAGCATCTTTATATGTGCTCTGTGCCTTTCAGCTCCTGCTCCACTGGGTCCTGTACAGTCTACTTTCTTATTTTAAACTTAATTTACAAAACAGACAGACAGACAGACCTGCAGGTATAATGAGTGGTACCAGATCACCGGTCCAGGCCCGGATGGGAAACCCTCTGAGGCTGTGTTGGCCAGAAGAAAGTGAAAAGGTGGGAGAGACTTCAAGGTCACTCGTGCCGTGTGCCTCTGAACTTAAACTCGGGGTCTGGTTTTAAGACGGCGTCATTTGGGGCGAGGGGCTGGACTCAGAGTTGCACTGTCAAAAACAAAAACCACCCAAATGAAAAGGAGTAGGTGATCCTGTGCTACTGGTCTCTTCCAAACCGTACCCCAGCGCTGGTTCCAGGGGCAGGACGCTGAGGATATTCAGTTTCTGGCCTTTCTGGAGGCACCCGTCCATTTCCTTTGCTCCTGGGGCCCTGCCTGTTGGGGAAGGGGAGGGCCTGGTGCGCAGCCCAGCTGGGTGAGTAGGACAGCCCAGCTCCCTGCCTATAGGGTGGTGTGCCCACCACCTGCGGGAGCAGTCACAGGGCACAGGGGCCCTGAAGGAGGTACGAGAGTCCCAGCAAAGGTATGTTCAGTGGCAGCTGCGGCTGCACTGGATACTGCCCCTTGCCAGTCTCAGGGAAACTGCAGTTGGGCAGGTGGGGCGCTCCCTCCCACCCAGCCTGCTTCTGTCCTTGCACCCCTCTGCAGGTGGGCTCCTTGGCCCAGGAGCGTGGAGCCTGAGGAACAAGACTTTCCGTGCATTTCTCACTCCTGCCTCTCAGGCCATCCACTCCCTCTCTGCTGCATGTGCGAGGGTTGCCAGATTTAGCAAAAAAACATGCAAATAAAAAACAGGATGGCAAATATTGGGTGGGACATACTCAATACTAAAAATTCTTC